AGACGGAACTCCCTACGAAGGGCCCCAGTGCGAGGACACGAATCGACTTTTCGAGCGCACCTCCCCAAGACGTCCCCAAATAGCGCAGAGATGGCTCCCAGGTCCAAGAAGGCTCCAAAACGATGCTGGAAGTTCGACGCTCCCCAAGAGAGAAGCATCCAAGGCCTCTCGGGGGCCGCTTGGGGGCCTCTTTTCGTCCTCCTGGGGGTGGGTCTCTCGGAGCCCTCTTTGGCAATCTTGAGTTCATCTTGGGCCGTTATGGGGCGATGTGGGGCCGTCTTGGGCGCCTCTCGGACCATCTTGGGACAATCTTGGGGCCATCTTGGGCCAATACTGGGCGCTACTGGGGCTGTCTCTGGTGTTTCTTGAGCCGTCTCGGGCGCCTCTGGAGCCGTCCCGGACGGCCCAGAGACCGTCTTGGAGACTGTCCAAACGGAAAGGCTTGGAGACGGGGCGGCGGGGGCGAGACGGGGCGGTGGAGCCGTCTTGGGCCATTATTAACTGCTGTTGGGGCTGTATTGGGTGCGTCTTGGGCCGTCTTGGGCGCCTCTGGAGCCGTCGAGGGGCAGTGTGTGGCCCTTTGGGCGCCCTCATGCGGGCGTCTGGGCGCATCTTGGGGCGAGCTGGGGGGCCTGTATAGCCTTCTGGACGCTGCGAGGACGAAAAAGCAAGATATATTGAAAATGTGCGTTCCCGCCGGGAATGGGACGGTTTGGGCCTCTTGGGGTTCTCCTGGAGGCCCTCCTGGGCCGTCTTGGGAGCCTCCTGGCCTGCCTTGGGGGCCTCTGGGGCTGTCGTGGGGCTCCCAAGAGTGCTCTGAGGCCGTCTTGGCGCCCGCTGGAGCTTCTTGGAGCCGTCCCGTTGGCCATTCGCGGCTGCTCTTGGGGCCGTTTTGGGTGCGTCCTGGGCCGTCTCGGGCGCCTCTGGAGCCGTCCCGGGGCCGAGTGGGGCCCGTTGGGGGCCTCTGGGCGCGTCTTGGGGCAAAGTGGAGGGCCTATGTAGCCGTCTTGGACGCTGCAAGGACGAAACAACGGAACATAGCGCAAATGTGCGTTTCCCGGCGGGAATTGGCCGATTTGGGCTTCTTAAGGCTCTCCTGGAGGCACTCCTAGGCCGTCTTGAACACATCCTGGCCTGCCTTGGGGGCCTCCTGGCCTGCCTTGGGGCGCCCATTGGGGCTCCCAAGGGTGCTCTGAAGCCATCTTGGGGCCCCCTGGAGCCTCTCGGAACCGTCCCGTTGGCCTTTCTTGGCTGCTCTCGGGGCTGTATTGGGTGCGTCGGGCCGTGTGGGGCCCTTTGGGGGCCTCTGGGCGCGTCTTGGGGCGAGGTGGAGGGCCTGTATAGCCGTTTGGGGGCCCTCCTGGGGTGTTCTGGGGGCGTCTTGGGGCGATCTGGAAGGCCTGTATAGCCGTCTTGGACGCGGTGAAGACGAAAAGAGCGAGCATGTCCAACATGCACGTTTTCCTAAGCGAATGGGGCAATGTTTGCCTCTTGGGTGCCTCCTGGGGGTCCTGGCTCGGGGTCCTCTGGGGCCGGCTTGGGCGCCTCTTGGGCCGTCTTGGGGCTCCCTGGGCCGTCTGGGGACGCGCTTGGAGGTCTGTTGGACCGTCCTGGGGCGGTCTTGTGGGTGTCTTCGGCCGTCTTGGAGCGTCGGCTAGCCGAGAAGGCGAGAAGGCAAGGGCGGTCTTCTGGGTGTCTTCGGCCGTCTTGGAGCGTTGGCTAGCCGAGAAGGCGAGAAGGCAAACTCCTTCAACAACAATGGAATAGTTAAGATTTTTGCCTCTGGGGGCATGCTTCGGAGTACTGTTGGAGCCTCTTGGGGGCCTCTTGGGGGGGTCTCGGGGCCTTGTGTGGGCGCAGGGGGGCCCAAGGCTCGGAGTGTCAGGGTTTTCCCCGTTCTTTGGCCCCCTCTTGGGCCTGGCTTGGGGTCCTCTGGGGCCGGCTTGGGCGCCTCTTGAGCCATTTTGAAGCTCCCTGGACCGTCTGGGGACGCGCTTGGAGGCCTGTTGGGCCGTCCTGGGGCGGTCTTGTGGGTGTCTTCGGCCGTCTTGGAGCGTCGGCTAGCCGAGAAGGCGAGCAGGCAAAACTCCTTCAAAAACCATTTGGGGCATGCTTCGGAGTACTGTTGGAGCCTCTTGGAGGCCTCTTGGGGGGGTCTTGGGGCCATGTGTGGACGCATGGGGGCCCAGGGCTCGGAGTGTCAGGGTTTTTCCCCGTTCTTTGGCCCCCTCGTGGGCCTGGCTTGGGGTCCTCTGGGGCCGGCTTGGGCGCCTCTTGGGCCATCTTGGGGAACCCTGGGCCGTCTGGGGACGCGCTTGGCCGTCCTGGGGCGGTCTTGCGGGTCTCTTCGGCCGTCTTGGAGCGTCGGCTAGCCGAGAAGGCGAGAAGGCAAAACTCCTTCAACAACCATTGAAAAATTAAGAATTCTGACGTCTGGGGGCATGCTTCGGAGAACGGTTGGAGACTCTTGGAGGTCTCTTGGGCCTCGCCGGGGGCCTCTAGGGGGCCTCTTGGACGCTCCTTGGAGCCTCTGATAGCCACTTCGGCGCGTCTTTGGGGGGATGGCTCGATTTGTGACGCTCGGGAGCCAGGATCTGCGTGAGAGGTGTCGAAAAATGGCCCTCCAAGGAGGGCAAAGTGCACGACCTTTTCGCACGCGCTTCCGTCTGCCATAGAGAAGAGACATAGAGAAGAGACTAGGGCTGACCCGCGGCCTTCCGGCCGCGGAATCTGCCCGCCCTGGCGTGGACATGGAAGTGGAGCGTCTCTGGGGCCTCGCGGGCAAGGGGAGGTTGGAGGGGACGGCGTGTATGAAAGAGGTGGCCGCTGAAGGTGGAGGTGAGCGAGGGATGCAGGCAAGCAGGCCTGAAGGCAGGAACTCAGTGGTGGAGGCGGTACCAGCGGAAGCACACCCATGTATATAGGCATGACATGGTGTTGACAGAAGCTGTTTCTGACGCCGCAGTCTGTGTTCATCATAGCTTGTGCGGAGTGGGTAGCCGTGAGAAGTTGATCTGCTCTTCGCCGGGGCCGAATGATAATCCCACCAGCCCTCTGGGCGTAGGTGGTCTAGAGCAGATCCTCTTCCACCCCTCCCTCTTCCCCCTTGGGGAGGGGTTTACCCCTCCCCCTACCCCCTCCCCTGGACCTGGACGGGGGGGGCCGCGGGTAGTTAGAGCGTCCCAGATGGCCCAAGACGGCTCCAAGAGCGCCTCAGAGAACCCAAGATGAGCTCCAAGATGGCTCAAGATAGCGCAAGATCGCTCGAGATGGCTCCTAAGATGGTTCCAAGAAGCCCAAAGACGGCCCCAAGATAACTCCAAGTGGCCAAACAGCTCCCCAAGGAGGCCCCGAAGAGGCCAAAATCGTCCCAAAACCTAAGGAAAATCAATGATTTTTGCTTTCTCGCCTTTTCGCTTCCGATGGCCATCCGAGGCCTGGAGATGGCTCCAAGATGGCCCAAGAGGGCCCCAAGAGAGCCCCAAAAGAGCCCCAAGACGGCCCCAAGAGCGCCCAAGAGCACTCCAAGAGCGTTCCAAGAGGGGTCCAAGAGGCGATTTTAGGGGCTTCCGAGGGGGGGCGCTAATTGAACCCCCCCTCTTGTTTGATCGACTCCCTCCAAGATGGCCCCAAAAGCGCCCCGAAGGCTCCCCAGAGCGCCTCAAGAGGGTCCCAAGAGGCGCCCAAGATGCCCCAAGGCGCCCAAAAAGCCCTCCAAGAGGCCCTCAAAAGACCCCCAAGAAGCTCCTTCCCCTCCTCCTCCTCCTCCTCCGATTCTTCCTCCTTCTCCGTCCTCCTCCTCCTCCTCCTCCTCCTCTTCCCCCTCCTCCTCCGACGACGACGACGACGACGACTCCTCTTCCATCCTCCCCCTCTCGGGGTCTGTGACAGCTTCCCCCGCCCTTTGTTATTCTGCATGCTCCCCGACTTCCCTGATCACCTCAACTCCCCTGAGCATCGTTTCTGGATGGGCTGGTGGGGATACGCGAAGCGTCAACAATTTATCTGGTAGTGTGGTGACAATGGGGCCAGTGGGCGCGGCCTAGGAGGCCCGCAAGAGGTTGGCGAGACGGCCCAAAAAGTCTCCAGGACGGGCCAAGAGGCTTCCCAAACGGCCCTAGAGGCCCAGAGGGCCCCACGAACTCCCTAAGACGGGCCCCAGAGCGAGGACACGAATCGACCTTTCGAGCGCACCGCCCCAATACGTCCCAAACTGGCGCAGAGATGGCTCCCAGAGGGTCCAAGAAGTCCCCAAGACGACTCTGGAAGTTCGACGCTCCCCAGGAGAGAACCATCCAAGGCCTCTTGGGTGCAGTTTGGGGGCCTCTTTTCGTCCTCTTACAGGAGACTCTCGGGGCCCTCTTGGGCAGTCTTGAGTGCCTCTTGGGCAGTCTTGGGGCGATGTGGGGCCGTCTTGGGTGCCTCTCGGACCATCTTGGGGCCGTCTTGGGGCCATCTTGGGCCGATATTGGGCGCTCTTGGGGCTGTCTTGGGCCTCTGGGCGCGTCTTGGGGCGAGCTGGGAGACCTGTGTAGCCGTCTTGGACGCTGTGAGGACGAAAAAGAAGATATAGTGAAAATGTACGTTTTCCGTCGGGAATGGGACGATTTGGGCCCTCTTGGGCCGTCTTGGGAGCCCCGTGGCCTGCCTTGGGGGCCTCTAGGGCTGTCTTGGGGTGCTCTGAGGCCGTCTTGGCCCCCCTGGAGCCTCTCGGAGCCGTCCCGAGGCCGTTTTTGGGGCATCTGCGCCCCGGAGGGCGCCCCGGAGGGCCCGGCGAGTGGGACCTTCTCGCGCGCGCGGATCCCTGCATTGTAGAAGAGATGACATTGGACTCCAGCTTCGCATCCCACATCTCGCTCAGCAGCGCCAGGGCCAGCTGCCACTGCTTGCCCTTCGCGCACGCGCTGATCCCAGCATTGTAGCTGATGACGTCGGGCTCTAACTTCGCCTCACAAATCTCGCTCAGCAACGCCAGGGCCCGCTGCCACTGCTCGCCCTTCGCGCACGCGCTCATCCCAGCGTTGTAGCTGATGACATTGGGCTCCAGCTTCGCCGCCCGCATCTCGCTCAGCAACGCCAGGGCCCGCTGAACCTGCTCGCCCATCTCGCACGCGCTGATCCCAGCGCTGTAGCTGATGACGACGGGCTCCAGCTTCGCCTCCCGCATCTCGCTTAGCAACGCCAGGGCCCGCTGCCACTGCTGGCCCTTCTCGCACGCGCTGATCCCAGCGCTGTAGCTGACTAGGGCTGACCCGTGGACTACGTCCACTTGCGGGGTGAACGGGTGCTGCCGCAAGGCGAGCAGGATAAATGGCGTCATGTTTGCCTGCCACATATTGCTGAGCTGCGGGGGCGCCAGGTGGCGCTGCTCGCCCGTCTGGGAGCCCCCAACGACACCGACGGTGGCGGCGGCGACCACGGGCTGCAAGGCTGGGCTGGCCCGATTCAGAACCACCGGCCCGCTGGCAGTCGGCGGTGCCGATTCTGGGCGCCCCCGGCGCCCCCCCGCCCGGCGTCCCAGAATCCTGCCCCTCGCTCCCAGGGCCACGCGCGCCTCCGGAGCCACCCAGCCGATTTTGGGCCCCCGACCCGCCAGCCTAGAATCGGCGGGGCCGACTCTGGGCCGCCACGCCGCCGGCCCAGAATCCCGCCTGGCGCGCCCCGCCGCGCTTGCTTCTGGGGTCGGCCAGGACGATTCTGGGCCGCAGCCAAGAATCCCGCCCATCGCGCCCTGGGCCAATTCTCGTGGCTGCGGGGCGGGCCTACCCGTTTCTGGGCCACCAACCCGCCAGCCCAGAATCGGCGGGACCGATTCTGGGCCACCGCGCCGCCTGCCCAGAATCCCGCCTGGCGCGCCCTAGGCGGCCGCGCGCGCTTCCAAGGTCGGCCGGGGCGATTCTTGGCCTGCACCAACCTTCCAGCCCAGAATCAGCCGGCCGATTCTAGGCCGCCGCGCCGCCCGCCCTGAAATCCGCCCGGCGCGTCCTGGGACGGCGCGGGCGCTTCCAGGGCGGCCCTATAGCCGATTCTGGGCCTTCGGCCCGCCGGCCCAAGATCGGCTGAGTTTTGTGACCGGCCCATGGTGCGCTTGGAGCCGTTTTGGGACCGTCTTCGGGCCGTCTCAGGCCGTCTTCGGCTGCTGTTGGTGCTGTTTTCGGTGCTTCTTGGGCTGTGATCTTGGGGCCTCTGGGGTTCGTTTTGGAGCCTCTCAGCGCTGCTTTTCTTTTCGGCCTCCTGGAAGCCTCTTGGGGCCCTTTTGGGCTGTCTCGGGTGCCCCTTGGGCCGTGTGGAGGCCGTGCGGAGGCCATCCGGGGCCGTCTGGGGGTTGTCTGGGGCGTCTCTGGAACAGTCTGGGCACCGTCTGGGGGTCGTCTTGGGACGTCATGGGCCGCTCTTGAGACTGTCTTGGGTGCCCGTCGGCCGACAGCGGCGCCTCAGGAGCCGTGCAGGGGCCGTTTTGGAGTCTTCTGGAGCCGCTTGGGGCCCTCGGGCTGTCTCTTGGGCCGCCATGGGCGCCTCAAGAGCCGTGGTGGAGCCGTTTTGAGGCGTTCTGGGGGCCCTCTTGGGCCGTCTTGGTTGCCTCGCGGGTGGTTGTGTTGGGGCCACCTGGGCCCGTCTTGGGCACCTCTTGGGCCGTGGTGGGCGCCTCTTGGGTCGTCCTGCGGTGGGCAGTCGTGGGGCCCTCACAGGGGCACCTTAGGGCGATATGGCCCCTCTATGACCGTCGTGGACGCGTCGGAAACGAAGAACACGAAAATACAAAAAATATCCGTTGTCCGTTGGGAATGGGACGATTTTGGCCTCTTGGGGCTTTCCTGGGAGGTCCTCCAAGGCAGTCTTGAGAGCCTCCTGGCCTGCCTTGGGCGCTTCTGGGGCGGCCTCTTGAGCGGCTCGGAGCCGTCTTTGGGCCGTCGGGGCGGCCACTTGAGCGTCTCGGAGCCGGTTTGGAGCCGTCTGGGTCCCATGGGCTCGCAAAGGCCTCTGGGGCACCGGCTGTGCTTAACCCGTGGTCCGCCTTTCCCGCACGCGCGGGCCCCTGCACTGTAGCAGAAATGACGTCGGGTTCCAGCTTCGCCTCCCGCATCTCGCTCAGCAGCGCAAGCGCCCGATGCCACTGCTCGCCTTTCTCGCACGCGCTGATACCAGCGTTGTAACTGATGACGTTGGGTTCCAGCTTCGCCTCCCACATATCGCTCAGCAGCGCCAGCGCTTGCTGCCACTGCTCGCCTTTCTCGCACGCGCTGATCCCAGCGCTGTAGCTGATGACGTTGGGTTCCAGCTTCGCCTCCCACATCTCGTTCAGGAGCGCAAGCGCCCGCTGCCACTGCTCGCCCTTCTCGCACGCGCTGATCCCAGCATTGTAACTGATGGCGTCGGGCTCCAGCGTCGCCTCCCGCATCTCGCTGAGCAGCGCGAGCGCCCGCTGCCACTGCTCGCCTTTCTCGCACGCGCTGACCCCAGCGTTGTAGCTGACTAGTGTGTACTCGTGGGGAAGATCAGCACTGTCGAAGTACAGGAGGGCAGTGCCTGTGGGGCGGGCCGGCAAAACACAGAAGGAGGCAGTTCTCCCGGTCGCACCGCTGATCAAATTTCAACGACCGACGATGACGACGGCCGCGTTCGACCGTCTTCGAAGGTGTTTCTGGTCGCACATCCCCGCAATGCCTCAAATGCGGCCCCGCCCCACCTAAATTGCACTCCTGCGCTTGAACAAAGAGCGTCACGCCACGGGGCCTCCCCGCGAGCGGCGGCGGCGGCGGCGGCGGCGGCGTCGTCGTCGTCGTCGTCGTCGTCGTCGTCGTCGTCGTCGTCGTCGTCGATGTCGACGATGTCGTCGTCGTCGTCGCCGCTGGCGCCGTAGTCGGCTTCGTCTCTTCGCCGTCGCCGTCTTCGTCATCGCCGCGGGGGTCATCGTCGATGTCGAAATCGTCGTCGTCGTCGTCGTCGTGGGGGTCGTCGTTGTCATGATCGTCGTGGTCAGTCGTCGTCCACGCTGTAGAAGGTGACAAGTGGACAGCAAGGAAGGCTCGGAGCATCGCCAGATTCACGGTGTCAGCCGCGGCGCTCTTCGGTGCGAACACGGCCCGGCCACACAGGAATCTCCAGTCGTGGGACTCGGCGGCTGGCGCCGCGAAGCGGGCTGACCAGGCGCGGATGTCCCCGAAGACCTCCTCCGCCGAGCGCTCCGGTGACCAGTCGGGCGGCGCGACGATGTTGTCTGGCAGGCGGATCGCCTGGCGGTCGATGTCGGGGCAAGCGGGGGCTCGTCCGTCGCCGACCTCGAGCAGGCATCGCTGCCGCTGCGGGTCGCCCCAGGCTCGCACGTTTTTCCTGTCAAGTGGTGCGCCCGCGCGGCCCCAACGCGCCAGAGTGAGCGATGGTGGAGAGATTGCTGGATGAAGTCTCCAGGGGGAACTCGTGGGATCACGGGGAGCACCTGGCGGAAGACGCCACCGAACAAAAGGGTCTTCCCTCCGAAGGGGACGCCGGTTTGCATGAAGGCTTACAGGAGAGCGCTGACGCACTCGATGGCCTCGCGCGGGGCTGTGTGGGCCTCGTCCCAGAGGATGATCGTCGCCTTCCGCAAGACCTCGGCGCGGTTCGTCAGGCACCCGATAGTGGGCGCGACGTCGTCGAGGGGCAAGGGTGCCGGAAGGCCGAAACGGGAACGCCACGCGCGACCGCCTGGAAGTAGAAAGGCCGCAATCTCATTCCAGGCTCCAGGCACGTGGGAACGCGATTTTTCTGAGGCCGCGGACGTGGTGAAAAATGGCTTCGCAAACGCAAGTCGCGCCCGTGCCGCCAAGACCGTCGATGAACATGGCAAACGGGCGTTTGGCGGCCCTGGCCTCTGCGACACGGCCCAAAGCTGCTGCCTGAGCTGGATTCATCCGTGATCGGAGCGATTGCGCCGCGCGCGCCTCGGGCGCAGCGTCGCAGGCCGCTTCCCGCAGCAGGTCCCGGCTGCGGAGCGCCCCTGGGTTCCAGTCCGTCGGCGTCGGCAAACAGTAGTCTGACGAGGTTTCTCCCGCCTGCCCGACAATCTCATAGATGTTGAGCAGGGCGGCGTCGGCTTCGGCCTCCGCGCCCATCCGCCGGGCGAAGTCTTCGGAGGGGTCGCCGGAACACGACTGCCACAGCGCTGGAGGAGACGCGATCTCGCAGCGCAGCAACAGCGCTGCGAATAACCGGCGCAGAGCGGAGGCGCTGCGCAGGTGTGCGGCGCCCTCCATGCACTTCGTGTATTCGTCGCTGGAATGAAGGGCGCGGGCTTCGCGTGCTCGCCTGGAATCTGGAACGTCGGAGTCTACCCGCGAGGGCGTCTCTGGGAGCCACCGCTGTTCGCAATGCGTTCGCTGGCCGCCGTCAGCGCGAGAGACGGCGGCGAGGTTATCGAAGCTGGCTGGGACAGCGACGCAGAGCACGCCCCAACAGCGAGGGCGCGAGGTCGCGAGCGCGAGCGACGGGCGTCGCGGCGAAAGCGGGGGGGGGCACGGGGCTTGGTCGGAGGGGACTTCTGGGGCGACGGCCGCTCGAATCAGAGAGCCGTCCGCGACGCCCCCGGAGAAGGGTAGCTCCCAAAGGCGGGCGCGGGACGCTCCGAGGGCCCCCGTGGCCCCGGGGAAAGCGCTGCCGTGGGGCTTGCCGAAGGCTCGCAAAAAGTGCAGGTACCATCGTGGGCCTTCTGTCGGCGCGGCCGTCATGCGCCCCCCCGGCGCGCGGGCCCCCGACGCAGGAGATCCCCCCCGCTGCCAACATGTCGCCTCGCGGTTCCAAGCGAAGAAGTGCAGGGCATCGGCTCAGTGGAGTGGCCGCGCCGGAAGGTCGAACCTGTCGGGCGAGGACGCGTCGAGATTGAACCAGGCTGCAAGCATCGTCTCGCCACCCGCCGCCGCTGCTAAGGCCTCGGAGCAGTCGTGGAATGCAATGGATTCGCCGCCGCGCAATTGCGCCGCGAGGCGTCCAACGTCGCGGCACTTGCCGCGCAATGGGAAGGACAGCGGTCGCTTCGGGGGGGCCGACGTAGCGGGCGTCGAGGAACTGCTTGATTTCATCTTTGGCGGAGTCCATGTCTAATTCAAAGGCAGCGCGGTCGCGGCCTGCGTGGAAGCACTTGAAGAAGTACTTGACGCAACGGATGGCGCCGCAGTACTCGACGTTCAGGTGCGCTTTGAATTTCTCGAGCAGGCAGGGGTTTAAGGGGGGCCACGTCTCGCGCGTCTAGCCAGGCGCCGTTCTTGAAGGCTATCGGGGAGGACTCACGGCGGCAGTGAACAGGGCGCCCGTCTCGGCGCATGTCCTTCTCCTCCGCGAAAAGTCGGGGATGATGCTTGGAGCAGCAACCGTCGATCATGCGCGAATCCCGGGGTTTCGAATACCGCGCGGGCCGTGCACCTGGGGCGCGAGAGTAATTTGCAAGAGCTAGCGCTGGTCAGGGTTGTCGGGGCGAGGTAACTCAGCGCATCTGCGCTCGTCGACGCCTGCGGCGGCACGGGGCTTGTCGGCGGGCTGCATGATGAGAAGGGCGCGGGCGCGAGGGAGGCCCCGCTTTCGAAAGTCGATCACCCAGCAGTGCGCGACCACCTTTCCGAGCCCGTGGTCCGCGAGAACCATGCCCCAAACATCTTGGAATTTAGCGCGGAACACGCTCGCGACCAAGTCGGGGCGCCCAGAGGCGGTGTCGCCAAGCCGTAGGGCAGACTGAATTCCCGCCCACGTGGGGTTCGCAGCGAGCGCGATGAAGAAATCGTGTTTGCTGGAATTCTCAACGATGGTCATTGCGCTCAAGTAGCGCTGGCGCAATGCGCGGGGCCCCCCGGCACACGACGGCGGCAGCGTCGAACGCCGCCCAACCCGCGTCGCGCCAGCCACAAAAATGTGGCCATTCAAGCGTCGTGCAAGCCTTGTTCCGTCTCGGCGCGTATGTTGCCCTGGCTGTAGGCGTGCCATGCGAGTCGGTTTGGTTCGGCCCTGCTCCAAACGTCGCAGATCCATGTTTGGAAGAGGAGGCCGGCTGAATGCGGCAGCGACGCGCGCGACGCAGGCCAGGGAGACGTGTCCTGCGAGCTAGTCTCGGGGACGTAGTCGCGGGGCATGGGCCGGTAGGAGTAGAAGTGCGCGGCGGTGAGGGCGTTCTGGCATTAAATGCGTCGCCTTTCATGGCGGAGCCCGCGGCGCCAGCCTGGGCCGCCGAGGTTCTCGTCCTCCGGCCAGATGCGGACGACGTCGGCTTCGCTGGGTCGGGGCCACGCGGCGAGGTCTCGGGAGTCTCTCAGGACTCCGTCGGAGCTTTGGAACACGACGGAGGGCTCGTAGGCCTGCGGCTTGTTTTAGCGGCGCATGTCTTGGCCCTCCGACTGAGAGAAGCAAAAATCGACGATGGAAGGGTTGTGCTGCAGCGCGATGTCGCGCACGTGGCGGAACTTGATTTACGCGTGGGCTCACGCGGGCGAGCGCGCGCTGCAGCGTAGATCATGGATGCGTCGATTCCCGCGTGGGAAGGGCTGTCAGTGCTAGCTCGCGCTGCCTCGTTTTGGTTGTGCAAATAAACTTGTGCGAATGCGGGGTCGTTGCCGCGTTTGGGAAGAGGTGCCCAGAATTCTGATGCGCCGCCCCATGGCAGATGACGACTAGTGGCCCTCGCCCGGGCCGCTCTCTGGAGAAGCAGGAAGCTCCGCATGATACAATGGCGAAGGCATTGTTGTGCATCTGGGGGGCGTTTCTCGCCGTCTGGCCGGCCCCCGTGGAGGCTTCCAGGATGTCGAACATTTCCGGGGGGAGGAGGTGGCAGAACGCGGATCTGTGCGGGGACGATCTTGCCGCTGACGCAGCAGATGCCGACGTGACCCTCCGCGCTCGGGCTGCTTCGGGAACGACGGACTCCACGCGCTTTTCCTCAATGTTGCATGCCCCGCGCTGGTCGCGCGCGCTTGCAGGGGCGCTGCCGGCGTGGGCGGCGCAAAGGAGGTCGGCGTAGTCGGCGATGGAAAGCGCCGCGGGGCGGTCCGCGCGCATGATGCGGCCGTGGACGCGGCAATGCACGCGCCCTGCCTGCGGGTTCGCACCCGGCAGGCCCGGCGCACTTGGGGCCAGGCTGGCGCGCGCATGGGCCTGGCGGGCGCTTGGACGTCAATCGCAGCCTTGCGTCGTCGCAACCGGGGCATGGCAAGGGCGGCGGCGTGGCAGGCGGCGCGCCCGCGAGTGGGTCTGCACTGAGCGGCCGCGGCAGTGGAACAGAGGCGAGTCGGAGATGCAGGGCGCAGTAGTAAGTGCCATCGAAATGCG